CTCAGCCGAGTTTCCAAGTGATCCAAATCAATTTGAAAACAGACATCAACAGACTGCATGCCAGTCAGTGGCTTCAGACTCCTTCACAAAAATCAAAACTGACATTTTTGAAATCCGGCAGTGAGGGAAATAGTGACACAAAACCCACCTCCGACCTTCAGCCCAACCAGTCTGGTTTTAACATTAGAACTTTCTTTTTTGATAAGGCTTATGGTCAGGGCTGGATCAAGTGACCCAGAATCCTACCTTAGTTACCCTGCAATAGGCTTAGGCTCTTGGGGTTTCTCATGATGCACTGTTTCTACTTTACTCGCCTCTTTGCACTCTCTGTGTTTATACACCCCTCTGCATTTAATTCTTAGTTATTATCAATCTAAGCTGTCCTCCACAGTTTCTTCTCTCCTGCCTCATGCCCAGCCGGTGGTGGCAGATGGCCCCGCCCCTCCCTGAGCCTGGTTCTGCCGGAGTTTTCTTCCTGTTAAAAGGGAATTTCTTTCTTCCCACTGTCACCAGGTGCTTACTTGAAGGGGGTCATTTGATTGTTGGAGTTTTCTCTGTATTATTGTAGGATATGCCTTACAGTATAAAGTGTCCTGAGGCCACTGTTGTTGGGATGTGGTACTATATGAATAAAGTTTAATTTTAAGTTGATATAGTGACTGTTCTGAGACACATTAGTCCCAGTCAGTAATCATTTTGCCATCTTCATGTGGAAGTTAGCAGGATCTGACTTCTGGTAGCAAGAATGTCAACAGCAACTGGTCAGAGGTGTGTTGCGGTGTTTTGTTTTGAAATGTTTCTCCTTCAGTCTGCGTTTGCGCCATGTTTACTGCATGTGGGAAGGCGCTCTGTGTCCTGATTGGTTGTCGTCACAGGCACAAGTTATTTTGACTTAGGAGTTACAGGTAAGGTGTGGAGAATCAGGTCAGGACATTGTCCTTGGCTGCCTGTTCTCACACTTAACTGGAGATAGTCCCCTTAAGCTGGGTACTCACCCTGGGAAATACTCTGTGGTTAAGGGGAAGCTGCTCCTTTTCAGTGCCTGTTTGTTCCATGTGGGGCTGAAAGTGTACGGCACCAACCTGATATAACAACATAATCTGAACGAATTTCTCTGCTGTAAATCTGGATCAATAACATTGATTGAAAAAACGTATAATCTATTTCTCGTGTTTGCTGTTTGAAGTTAACTGGTGCTCGCTCTGTGGGTGTTTGTGTGTGTTGTAGAGTAAGCGTCCAGAAGAGTAAGTGGGACAGCTCTCGCTCTATGCGCTACAACCAGGACGCTCAGCGAGAGGAAGGTAAAGGAGGACTCATTGATGCTTTTCTATTTTAAGCCACTGAGTCAGACTACGTTCTTTCAGTCTTGCATTAACCACTTTCTTTGCATGTTAACCAGACCAGCGCCGCATGGTGGAGATCATTGGCTACCTGACAAAGATGAGGTTTGGAGACCAGGAACAGAGTAAATCCAAGGATACTAAAGAGGTGGCTGTTTATTTACTGTACACCTAAAATGAGATTGATTGTCAGGGTGCAGGAAATGTGACTTTGACCAGGATTTATTGTCTTTCTTCACATCATGTGGTCAAGATTGGTGCTGAGCTGTCAGACCTGCTGTCCTTGTTTTTGCAGCTGCCTCATGTTGGATTGTTTTTCTTCCGGACTCTCTCTCTCTGTGTGTGTGTGTGCGTGTGTGTGTGCGTGTGTGTGTGTGTGTGTGTGTGTGTGTGTGTTTGTTTGTTTTACAGCCTGCAGGGGGGATCTACTCCAGACTTGAAGTGCAATTTAGGAGCTCCTCTCAAGTCAGACAGAGTTCAGAAAAGACACCCAGGTACATTTACAGTGTTACACACACCCTGGTGTCTCACTCAATAACTAAGCACTTTTTTCTTTCTTTACCTCTGCAGGTCTAAAACACGCTACGCTCAAATCCGAACAACATAAAGAAGCTAATGGGGGAAAAAGGCAGTGGAGCTGCTAAATAGACCAGCATTAAACCCGATGAAGAGGACAGAGACTCGCTCCTCAACCCCAGCACTTGTCAGCCCACCCGCCCCTGCTTAACTCAGGTGACTATGTATGGATCACCGTCAACCACATCTCCTTTCACTCAGCCCACTGTGTGTTTGTTCAGCTGCATCCAGTCCACAAAAACAGCAGAACTGTGGACCCATCTCGGCTCATTAGAAATGCACTTTGACTTTCCTCAGTGTTTCTTTAAAGACGGACAGGTGGGGATTTCTACAGAAGGCAACAGGAGAAAAATGTATGGAAGTCCACTCATGCCAGTGGGAAAAGAAAAAGTCATTTGTATTTCAGAAAATATTTCATAGCAATGACAAACATGTATCTTATTGTAAAATACATAGTTTCTGTCTGTCCACCAACTCCTACACAATCAGGAGTTAATCAACCAAACTTGGCACACAGGTACATCTTAGGCCCCTATAAGTTCTTACCTATATCAGATACTATGGTGTAATCACATTACACAACTACCTACTGACCAACTAAAAGGACACACTTTGTGTTTATGCACCTATCTCACCTTATACAAGCATTGTATCATTTCAGTTTCACAACAGTAGCATCTCATTTACATCAGATGTTAATCAGTTGTGAATATTTTGATATGCAATATCATCGTGTTGCTTGGCAACCACCTGGTAACAGAATAAAAATACATTTATGTAGTAGAGCAGGACATGGGATGTAGTAGTAAAGGTAAATTTAAAAAAGAAAGAAATTACAAAAATGCCACAACAGAAAAAAAGTTTTGATATTAAAAAAAAAAAAGGGGAAAAAAAGCATAAATCAAATTGACTTGAACTGAAGAAAAAAACTACATCAGGATACTGGAAAACATGTGTGTCTAAAGCTCCAGTGACATTTTTTTAAATGCTAAATTGAGATCAAATTTAATTTTGAGGTTAAGAAGTAAAATTGAGATAAATGTATTGTATGTTATATGAAAATCGGTCAAAAAGATGTCATGAGAAAAATTTATGAAAAAAGAAAAATCATTTTCTTAAACTGGCACTGATTATCTTCCTGGATGGCTAATTGAAGATGTTACCTTCTTAAACTGACATCTTATTTCCACCATAGTGGAAGGTCAGACGTGTCGCATGGAAATTTTACTGCATCAACTGAAATTTACACCCAGCCTTACATTTACACTGTAATTCTGCCTGCGTTCTGTGTAAAGCTCATTCTGTAGGTGAGAAGGATGCCACATTTGTTCCACCAAGTTCTGGTAGAGATGTAGTTCTAGTCTTTCCTGTGTTTACTGGAACGTGACTGTGCCATGTACCACACCTAGGCCAATAAAATACAAGTGGCTAAATCCATTCAGAGCCTTATGTGAACTTTTGTTTCTGGTTTATATCCACTGGGTGGCAGCAAATCACACTGGGGGAATAACTATGGATTCCCAAGACACAACCTTTGCCCCAGTTTCACCATGACCTTTCACCTCTCCAACAATCTACCAGGTGAAAAATACGCACTTGATTGGTTCTCAGCTTTAGCAAAGAGTGTTAGTGTTGTTTCCTGTATGAAAAGAAGCCAGAGCAGTTTGTGGAAACTGAAAGTCCCAGAGAGGGCTGGTATGTGCCACTTGGTTCGGGGTCACGCCGCTCCTCTCTGCATGAGAGGCACTGACCAATGGGCGTGCTAACCTGGCTCTTCCTGTAGGACTTACTCACAGGGGTATTAATAACCCTGGCTGCTCACAACACAGACCCAGAGCAGGGCTTAACGGGGCATAAAGCGTAGAGGAGGTGATGTGGGCTTTTTTTTTTTCTCCCTGTGGGCGGGCGCTACCCCAGCTGTTCTATCTTCTCCTCAACAGCAGATGCCAAGAATGGCTGAGGATGTGGATCTGGGTCAGGAAGGGGGGGTGGGGGAGTCCTGTTACAACTGGACTGAATTATGGTCCCACAGAGATAAAGAGATGGTTGGACACGAGAGCATCAAAGAAAACACGCCAAACTGACAGAGATGCTCAGTGTGCCAAGACCTGCAGAACTAAAATGTTACTGCTGCAGATTCCTCTGAAGCCTGGCTCTGGGACACAAGGAAATGAAAAGTTGAGTGAAATTAGAATTCCATCTCCCTCTCTGGTTACATCAGAGCTGACAAGATTGTTGGGATTGCGTAAGACGAGCGTTTCAACTTTCAATGGCACGGCGTCAGCATAACCTTTAATCTAATACCAGTATGTTAACAGGGATTAGTGGAGGAGTCCACTTACACAGCAGCAACCTTGGCTAAAGATGCCCAGGCGGAAACGGTTGGATGTCGCGTTGCCTGCGTGACGGATGCCATCCGTCATCACTGAGCTTTCCTTTTAGGATTTGTGTTTTCAAACCTTTTCAAAGCACGCTCCTCTTCACACGTAGATGTATGCATCTAACAGGAGATAGGACAAAATAGTCACTATGCTTAACGACCATGTGGTCAGAAATCATTTTCCAGAGTTGATTAACAGTGCATCAGGTCAAAGCGCAACAAACCTGTTTAGGTTGGCTTTAGTTTCACACAACAAATCTGACACAAGATGTCTTCTACTCCAGCTGCCATGTGGCAAATCGTCTTTTATAGTAAGTGAAAGCGAAAGCAGCCTGCACTGTAGGAGGTGGGGTTGGACAAGTAAACACAAGTTCTCAGAGTTGATGACTCAATCAGCTCACAACTGAATTCGGCACAACGTCAGTGTCATTGTTCAACTGTTGACACAAGAAAAAGCTAGTGAGCAAAGCTCTCACTAACAAAGGCTGTATGTTACAATGTTAGGTTAGGTTTAGAGTTTAGTCAGCTATGGCAGCGATGACTTAAAATTCAACAGAAAAAGCCTGCTGTATCGTAACACGATAAAGACTGCATTCTTACTCAGTATTGATCAAGGCCAACACTGAAGTCTTCAGACACACAAACAATATCTGCTCATATAAAACTCGAGTCTCTGCTGTGGAATGAAGAGATCTGAGCGAAGGCAGGATTATAAAATTCTCACCTTTAATCAGTTCAAAAAGTTCACAACAAATGTAACACCTTGAGAAGGGAAATCTGCCATTAGAGATTGGATGCTTATTTGGATTTATACATTCTTCCTAATTAAACTCACTGGCAATTCATTTACTCTCTGGACAAAAAAAAAAAAGCCTTTATTTGGACAAAACTCAAACAGTTACAAATGAAAAATGCAAAAATACAAAATTAAATGTAAACCCAGGTTTATTTCTCATTTTGCTCTAAAGGTAGTGTCTTGAAGCACTACTGCATGGTAAACAATCTAAATTAGTACAATTCAAAATCAAAAGCCATCTGAGTTAAACAGGAGTTGTTATAAAGATGCAACCAACCAAAGAGCCCATAAATACCTCCGCCACTTCCTTAAAACATCCCATTAATGAAGGCTCACAAATGAGCAACAATCCTCTTAGAGGAAAACAAAACGCTGATGTCGACTAGGCGACAGCACACACGCGCACACACCCACAACAAAAAGAAATAACAGAATAAGAGGAAAAAAAAAAAATGTTCCCATGGTATTAAAGATGCTATACAATTGGGATGATATGCACATATTCGCTTTTGCTTTCCCTGAAAAACCTCACGCTGGCAGCAGCAGCTCAGTTTTTTGGGTGAAGCAGAAAGTCATGAGCAACAAGATGCTGCTGCACGAGCAGCGTCTCTCAGCCTTCATTTTCCATTAGATTCACATTCTCCCACAATGCCGTGGGGCACCAAACAAGCGGTGCGTGCGCCTCTAAAAGACCACTTTCTGTCACAACACGGGTCTAGAAGCTTCTATGCCAACTCAACACATGGGCCGATTTTCACAACACCCCCGCCCTCCCCTGCCCACACCGGGTGTAGAATAGATCTATATATAAACAAAGAGATGGGAAAGAGGGAAGAACTAGGAAACAGAACCAGGGAAGTGACGGAAACTGATCCAAAACAACATGGTTAACTTGTCCTAATCGTTATAACTTCATCTTGCAGGTCTGAGAAGGGCCAGAGACCAACAGAACGTAAGCTAGATTAACAGTTTTGGAAAGTTATTACACAAAAAGTCTCCATAGAAAACGCAGATCATGTAAAAAGGACCACAGGGTGATGCGGTAATCATTTACAGAGTATTGGCATTATTTTGGTCAACAAACATCCAATGGGATGGCCCACGGCCTCCCACCACACTCAAGTGCCTCTCTTGGGTTTTGTGTTTGCTGTGGTTAGGGTTAAGTTTGGAGTACTGTACAGTTAGACTGAGCAGGCGCTCAGTCACACATCTCCTCTGGGATCTCGTGAGGATTCAGGATGCCGGGCACCGACATCTGGATCTTGTGTTTCTCCTCCTGGGCCTGTCGGAGTGAAGCCTCCCTCTCCTCCAGAAAAAGGTCCGAGGTGTCCTCACCTGCAAACTCCTGAACAGCGACACAATCACAGAAAGCTGCTGTTAGCTACAAGGTTTGAAAGCCATGCTGCTTTTCTACCACAGCGACCGAGATCCTAATTTTTACTGTTAGACTGCTCAATTAACTGCAACACTACTAAACCCCCATTTGGGAGTGAGGGATCAAATACTCACTATGGGTGCTGGTAATTGAACTCACTCTTCCAAATGATGGACTTTTATTTGTAACAGGGTTAGCATGCACATGCTTTTTAATAAAAAGTCATTTAAAAGCATGTATTAGGCTCATTTCCAGCATTTCTACATTTTTATATTCTTAGAGATTTGCATGAGCCGTTCAGCTCACGTTCCCTTTCTTTGAGATAACTTCCTTCTGATTGGCTGCTGCTCACAAACAAAAGATCTGATCGGCTGATTGGTTGGGCTTCTTGGGATGCCCATCATTCAGATATTCCCTTTCATTTCTTTTCGCCCTCTTAGACAAAAAACAAACAAAAAACCCAACATGCTTGACCTCAGCAATTGGTTTAACAGTATTTGATTTACTGACATAATTACCACCTAAATGTCAACTTCAGTGCACAAAAATAAACAAAAAATAATTATAAATAATAAATAAATAATAATAATAATCAGACCAATCAGGACACATGACACAACATTGAATGTTTCCAACAGCACCCACAAAGCTTCCATAAAGTCATGGCCGCCTGACCATGAAGTGGCAGGAAAATGTTATTTGTGGAAACAACAGCTAAGCAGTTAGCTATGTAGTCAGTGATAAGGAGAGACAAAGCTTCCATAGAGGGACAGGCTCCATGTGCTTCAGCTCAAATACACAACTGAGATACACTCAGTCTCACAACTTACACTTTGTGTACCTCCTCAACACTGAAAGGAATACTTAATACACCTCCAATCAAAGTTGCTACAGTCTGACGAGCTCACCTTTATCTGGACGAGGAAGTCCCTCAGATGCTCCTTGAAGGCAGGAATGTCCTGGTTTAAGCTGAACAGCCCTGTCACAAACACCTTCACCTGAGCACTGACAGACAAAACACACACACACGTAAGCATCGACTGAAAAACAGACTCACTTATATGCGTAATGTTCACACTCACTCCTGCAGGTGGGGGAAGGCAGTCTTAAGCAGGTTGGCCACATATTCCTGGATGAACACCTGGTTGGTGGTGGGGCTGGCGGGGTTCAGCGCTGCAGTGATCTTCCCCTCCTCCACCAGGTTGAACATGTAGGCCAGGATGGACGCGTGCATCGTCAGGCCTGCAGCACACACACACGCGCACGCACGCACACACACACACACACACACACACACACACACACACACACCCACACACACCACACACACACACACCACACACACACGCACGCACACACACACACACACAGAAAATGAATCCATCGTCTTTCCCTAATTCCCTCGTCTTTGTAAAGCCACGTTCAAATTGATTTAGTTCTCTGGGGGAGGTGTTAATATTACCTGGCCTGGTTTAGTGACTTTAATCCAGTTCAGATAATGAATGTGTCTTTTTAAAAATGTTTTTGATCCCATCACCAGGAAGATTCAACACTACAATCAACTCCTAAATAAATCAGTACTGAGTAATGTGTGATCTTTTAAGCAAGAAGTCACTTCCATTTTTCAAACTAGTGCCTTTAAAAGGTTGTACTGAACTACTACAGCCTTACTGTGATCTGAGCCAATGATTTTAACATAAACATGTTCATCTGACCTGCACAGCAGACGCCAACATTTTTTGAAAGTATAAATATCATTTGGACGACTGCAGATTCAAACAACTGAACGGCATCAATTGTGTGTGAGCTCACCAGCAGTGTGCGATGTGTCAGTGACCACAGAGAAAATGTGCTGCAGGATATCGCAGAAATACGTCTGGTAGAAACTTTGAGCGGCTGCCTCCTCCTGGGCCACATTCTGCAGCAAGGTGTACAGAATCTGCAGACCTGAGCAGCGACAAGACACAAAACAACACAAAATTATAGTTGCACATCCTTCGAAGACCACAGCAGCTTATTGTTAACAGCCGGGTTGCACAGTGATGTCGCTGTTCTGATGCACGTCTGTTTCAGTGTGAAAAGGATCACAGTGCACCTTCATGTCACGTTTCTGCCTGTGGATCCCACAGTGGGTTTTCCCATTATCAGTATTTAAGATGTTGTTGGTCAATAAGAGCATAAACACCTTAGTGTACTCATCTCTGAGCCCTTACCAGTGTCAGCCACGTTCCTCATGGTGTGCTTAAAGGCCCAGATGATGGAGTCCAGCACTAGTTTGAACTGGGCTGGAGGGATGGCAAGGAATGCGGGGAAGCAGTGCGAGTTTACAGCTTGGAGCAGGTAGAAGAAGTGGGTCCTGTGCTCTGGATACTCCTCAAAGTTCTGGTACAAACATACAAACAGATGATGAAAAATTTAAATCTACAAACCAAGTTATATCATAATGCTACACATGAAATAACGTATCAGCAGTCTAACTTAAATCTGGCCTCACACTGCTGCAGGTTTTTAGTTTTTGAGAGGCACCTGATGGGTCCCAGTTGTATTTTGGAGTGGAAACAGAGGCTCAGGTCAGAGTAAACAACAGCTGAAGCCGACTGAATTTAAGATTTTCATTTTTTTTCCTGCAGAACACAAGCACTTAACTGATAGTGACTAAAACCAATGCAGTGCTGCAGTTAAATAGATTTTTTGTTTTCTATCAACAATGATGACGTGCATGAATGTAATTATCCGCCCAGTGATTTACACACTGCAGTGAAGGCCGCATGGTAGATTGCTTATCCCAATGCAAATGAAAGCTGCTGATTTGATGACTGAGGTGTTTACTCACTACTCTCAGTAATAAAAGAGCTGCTGATAACTACGAACAGTTGAACAGACGGCCGGCCACTTGATAAACAGAAAGACAAAGACTGCTGTCTCGGTCACGTGTGCAGGAAAGATTTAAAAACAAATATCCACATATGATGCGTCAGCGGCTCACTGGGTCGTACCTTGTTGATCATGTTTAGAGTGCACTCAAAGACGGCATCAAAGATCTGGGGTATCTCGCTGGTGATGTGGCCCCCCAGCTTGTTGACAATAGTTGCCATGGTGCTGAGGACTTCAGGCTCACGGGCGGCAGGGACATTGCGTTGGTAGTCAATGAGGACGGCATCCAGCAGGGGGGGAACAAAGTTCTCACCAACCTGAAACAACAACAACAAGAGGCGTCAGCAAAGAAAGCTTTGAGTGACGCACAAAAACCTGAGCAGACATGCTTTAAATAAAACTATGAAAGGTGACCAACCCCTCAGTACAGTGACAAACTGTGAATATTAAAGGGTTGTGCAGATGCAAACACAGGGGGGGGCAGAAAAGTCTGCCGCAGGGGAACACAATCTTTGTGTCTGATCTAAAAATACCGATTGGATTGTTCGAAAGCTGTTCCACAGTCAGCTGTTCCACTGGCTGCTACAGTAGGAGTAACTCAGGAGGACACAAGAGTGTAAATATATCACTTCTGATATCATCAGCATTTTTAGTACAGCAGCTTTCTTCCTTCATTCTTTGTCAACATAAAGCCCCAACTGGGTTTGTCTCCTTCAGCAGTGACATATGTGAGCGCCTTTCTCACCATCTGTGGGTCGTTTGATCGGCTGACCCAGCCTGAGATCAGCTTCAGAGTCTCCCGTTTCACTGTTCTCATACTCCGGATCAGTGGCTGCTTTGTCACCATCTCACCTGCAACACAGACATTAGCAGAACATGCGACTTCTTAATGAGGATGGGAAAAAAACAAAACAACAAAAGTCTCACACATAGCAGCTGGGTCTAAATGTGTAGCTCTCGCTAAACTTAATGTGCACTGCACACCTCTCAAATCTCAGCTTTTTGTGCCAATGAAACCCATCCCATGTTACATAACACATATCTCACACGTGGAATTACCTTAATTACTGTAATGCAAAAAAAAAAACGAGAGAAAAGACTTTGTAGCTGACTAAGAGCCCACTTGGAACAGAAGTCTGCTAGAAAAATGGCTGGAATGAAGAAGTATGATATAATTACAGATCATTAAATATTATACTAGCGCTGCACCCATTTATCAGCTAAACACTGGCCCCTATTCTTCTCGATGACTGGTATCAGCAAATAAGACGTCAATTATCTGAAACAGTGGCTGATATTCATCTCATCTACCACACTGACTTAACCCTGATTGGAGTGTGATGAACACTATAAAAGTAAAACAAACAGTATAAACCTCTGAAAATCAACTCAGTTTGTGTGCTGCTTACAGAACAGCTATAACCTCACTGCTCTGACAGCAGCATGACAGTAAGCATGTTTACAACCACCTGTCTGCAGTGACCACCATGCAACTGTGACAGTCTGCTGCACGATGAAAACAAATGTGCCGGTCTTACCGTTTGTCTGAATGGCAGCAGAGATGTTCTCGCTGAGGCACTTGTACACGTTGAGCATGTCAAGGTAAATCCGTCCCAGCTGGATAACAAAGGGGTGTCCCACTGCCTTGCAGGCCCTGACATTGGTCTTAAGAATGCTGCCCAGCTGTTTGACGGTTTCTGGGTCCTTCAAGATGTCCACGTTCTCATGGACGGAAGAGGAGCAGAAGAGCCATTAACAAACAGCTTGTGTGTCTCTGAAATGTGAATAAACGGTGATACACCATCTTACCTTGGTGGCCTGCTGGATGATACTGTCCCACACTTGATTGGGCAGCAGCATATATTTCTCTATCAGGTGCTCCTGAACAGCCTGGTCGGTCTGTGCCCCGATCATGTACCCTACTGCCTCATAAAACGTGTGCACCTGTGCGTACACACAAACAAACAAAACAGTCAGCACGGACACTCAACTGGGCAAATAAGAGACAGCTGTGCCTCTCTCTGATGGATTTCTGTGGGTAAGAACACTTAATGACCTGCTGAGGCTGAAGGTCACAGATGATCGTGTTAATGTTGTTGAGGATCTCATCGATGAAGGGCATCACCTCTCCCACCTGCACCTGGATAAAGTGGCGCCGACACTTCTGGGCAATCTTAATGAAGGTGTCGCACGCCATGTCCTGAACTCCATCATGGGTCTCTGTGAGGGCAGGACAGAAAAATAAAAATGCATTAGAGCTGTATCCATCTATTCATCCATCTGTCTGAAATAGATGCAAAGAGGGAGTTCAACAAATAAAAATACTCCAGCTCACCATGCATGAACTCAAAGAGCTTGTTCACAACAGTTTTGAGGAACTTCCAGTGGGCTCTAAGAAAACGAGGGTACTGGCCAACAATGTACATGATGTTAGAGGCGATGATGGCCTTGTTGTCTTTTCCTCGCTTCTGCTCACAGAGACCCAGCAGATCCTGAAGCAAACACCAAAGGATTCACTTAGGCTTAATGTTAAACCTTATGGGTGAGACAATAATTAATATGAGGCGTAAGCATGAGTGAGGGACTGCTGTCACCTAAACCTAAATACACAGACACATCAATACCTTAATGACAGTAACAAGGAACCTCTTCTCATCCTCCTCGTGCATAGCCCCACTGATGGATCCAATGGCCCAGCACAGTGTGTTGAGGTTCTTCCAGGACCATTCAGTACCATTTACCTGGTTGTGAAGCTTCTCTGTCATTATGCGTTCTGTGTCCGCATAATCCAAGTGAGTCAGGTACACTGCAGGACAGTAGAGGAAATGTGTATCAGAGTACAGTACAGTTTCTGCTAAATTAAGAGTTAAAACTAGAGACACAGTTCAGAACCAAGACAGAGAGAGAGATAAAAACAACAAAAAAAGAAAGAAACATATATGAGAAGAAATGGCGGAATGAATTTTCCCTAAAAAACACTGACGCCTGTGTGATGAGTGACACTGATCAAGCCAATTTAGTCAAATGTAAATTTATAGTCAGTCAGTTCTACAGTCAAAGATAAAGCTTTCCCTACATCCATCCATTATTCAAACAGCTTATCCTTCTGCCAGTCTACGAGTTTCCAATCGATCTAACCTGCATTTCTTTGGATCTGTGGGGGAAAACCAGAGCACCCGGACGAAATCCACGCAGACGCACAGAAAGGCCCCAGCCAGCCGGCAGTGCTAACCACTGAGCCATGGTGCCGCCCGATTCTCCTACAATATTTAAATATTACAGTGGTGCTGAGAACAACTCGCCTAACCTGTTGGAGGATGTGTCTGATCAGTAAATACAAATCCAGCTGCTGAAGCCACTGGATGGATGCATTAATTAAGATCTATTCAAAAATATGACTTCTTGTGGTTATGATCAGTTAAACACTGCTTCTTAAGACAAGTGGCCTAGAAAAAAAGAGAGTTTAAAGCTTGATTTACAGTCCTGTGTTGAATCCCTGCAGAGCCTACGCTGCAGTAGCGTTGTCATCATTTGCATTTGTACTTGAGCGCTGCTGAGTTGCACTGGTCTGCTATCACCAGGGTAAACTGAGACAATCACATTCACTTCAAGCTAATAGTATCATACCACTGCTACATCGAAATGCAAGAAAAAGAAACCCCCCCCAAAAAGAATTCAGAAGCGATCGAGCCTTTACACAGATTATTCGAGCTTTAAAACAAGAAACCAGCATGTACCTGCATTAGCAAAATCTTATTTTGCTAATCATTATACCTCGTTTACACAGGATTTTACTAGCAAGCGGAGACACAACTGCTGCAGCGTAGATTATGCTGCAGATTTAACACAGTACTATAAATCAAGCTTAAGGATATAAAATATTAGAAGCTATCATTAAGTCATACCAAGGGTCTCCCTCATATTCTTGTAGAGATTGATGGAATCTGTGTCCTTCATGAACTCCCTGACCACCTCCCCCTGATCATTCTCCACCACCAGGACCTCCTCTGGCTTGGCCATCCGACTTACCATCAGCAGACGCACCTGTTACTCCAGATAAAAAAAACCTGTCAGCAAGTACACAAATCAAAACACCTGCCTTTCACACACACACAGGAAAATATAGCTTAGCTTGTGTTCTCATAAATGTAAAAGGACGATACAAGTGGTTTGTCTCCTGGTTATAGTCACATTTCACACATATGGAATGTAAAATATCATTAAGTAGAAAAAAAATGTTTGTATTACTTTAGTAGCTGCTGATTTTTAGTAACACTGTAACCAGCATCTCTTTTGGCAGCTCTGAAGCAGCCACCTGTCGCTGGCCTGAGCCAAGTCTTTCTAGTATGACTGCGAGCTGAGACGCTTCAGGTTCCACAAACTGGAAACACTTCAGCAACCTCTGTGTCATCTTCACTATAAACGTAAGACATGCTTCTTAAAGAAGAGTCTGCATTTATAAACTCAACTTCAATCATGGGGCTCTGCGATCATGTATGTGGTATGAATAAATACCATCTTGTTCTAAGAGGTACCTTGGAGAGAACGGGTAGATAGAGCTGTCTGCGTGGAGGCACATCAAAGTGCTGGTTGCCAGACAGCAGAGGGGACGTGGATGTGGAAAAGGGACTCTCTCTGTAGAGCTCAGCGGCCAAGTGATTCCAATACTCCAGGCAGATTTTGAAGATCTCAGTCTCTTCCACCTCTGACACCAGCAGCATGTAGTGGAGGGCCTGAAGGAGAACCAGGGGAGTTGCAATGTAACGTGAACATGTTAGCTAATTACCATAATCTTCTCCTGTGCAGCCTATGTAGAGCAACAACAAAATACAGAATACCGTGCTTCCCTTACCTCCATTAATGTCTCTCTGAGGTTGAGCCTCTTCTCAATGAGTTGCCCGTGCTCTTTAAGGAAAGTACACAGGAACAGACTGAGGTTCTGGATGAAGTTTTGCTCGTCATCTTTCCCGTTGGCGTAGGCCAGCCGAATGTTGGTGTTCAGAGGCAGCATCTGAACAGATTAGAGTTAAAATTCATCTTAGAGTCTCAAACCGAGCAACGTGTCAGTGTGGCTTTGTCAGATGTCACCGGGTAACCCACCTGTTTGAGCTGACACATGGTCAGCGTGAAGAGGGTAACAAACTGCTCCTCGTACTGGCTGACACTCACGCCCGCAATCTCTGTCAGGCACTTCAACGTCACGTTGCGAAACATCGGCACGTTCAAGAACTGTTTAAAATAAAAAAATATATATGTTAAATATCCATTATAAATCGATTTTATGCACATCATCGAATATTTTAAATAATCACACAAATCTGCATCTTTGTGTGTTGTGTGCGTCTTTGCGGCCGCACCTTATACACCAATGTGCTGATCAGTTTGGTTTCAAAGATGTATCCCAGAGGAATCCAGTTGAGAAAACGCAGAAGTGTCTCCAGGGTGGCATGGACCAGGGGGGCATTCTGGGAATTCTCCTGAGGTGCACACAGCAACACAATCAGTAAAATCAGCTGAAGAACAAACACTGGTGTGTAACCGATGATAAAAAGAATGTACGATACAAGGAAAAAGATGAATGCATACCATAACAAACTGACACAGCTGGAATATCTGGGAGAATTCATTGCACATGCTGAAAGAAAACAAACAACATGTTAAACAGCATCTGACACTGATAATGAAAGACAAATCTGAAAGTTTCATGTACAACCTGTGCCCTGAAACAATGTAAATAACCGTGGTTCGTTTCTTTTGATCACTTTATGTCTGTTCATGTTTGGTTTCAAACCAACATCGTTTCAAAGGTTTTGCTGCACTGACAGCAGCTAACAAGTTGCCACCTACTCAAGTAACACCGCCCTCTCTTATCCCGCTCTCTCCAGTGTTACACTCCACCCATCTCATGCAGCAGTTTTCACACATGAACTTTGGGCCAGTTCAGGAGAGTCTAGTTAATATTTCTCACATTTGTCCTTCCTCACATGTAGCACACAATGGGACATGGTCTGCTTCAGACACAGTTGCACCACTGGAAAAACACTGTAGTTTAGTGGAGGGTGCTGCCTAGACAGACTGTGTAGGAGGTACCACACACGATGCCCAACTGGCCAATAGTAAATGCACTGGGTGATGTTGGGTGACTTCCAGAAAAACTCAGGGAACCAGGCCATGTAAGAAAATGGCTACACTCTGACGTCTGGTGACAGCAGAACAGGGACGTTTTGAGAAAATACATTACAGGCTTTAAGATGGCATTAAAATAAAGTGAGAGCATATAAAAGGAAGGAAATAAAAGATGGTTTTAATATTCTATCAATGTCTTTTCCTTTGGCGTTTGTGTGTATCATGTGACACGGTATTCCTGGGTAGCAGTGTATTAAATGTTTAGTCAGATTTAGTAGTTTACAGCTTGTTTAGTTATACTAGACTTGGTAAATTCAACTGCACTGAGTCTAAACATAATAAGCCTCATTTGTCATTGAATGTAGTTCCAAACAGTCAATCGGGATGACCTTCTTTAGTCATCTGAAGAGAAAAAAAAAACCAAAACATCTAAAATCTAAAATGACTTCAGCCCCAGTGGACATATTTCGGATTCTTTGGATGAGGAAACAATAAAACATGAAGCTCCCAATCACGCGAGCTTCATGTTTCAGGAACGGCCTCCCTGATCTGAACCCGAGTGGTGTTTTGTTATTGGACTTCTGTGCAAATCACAGTTTGCCCATAACAAACACCTTGTTCGAACATAAGAGTGTCCATAAATGCATGTGGCACACGAGGTCACTGAGGCAGTTAAACAACTCCTTGGTGGCAGAGCCCCTGGTGTTGATGAGGTCCGCCCAGAGTTCCTGAAGGCTCTGGACTTTGTAGGGCTGTCCTGGTTGACACGCCTCTACAATGTTGCGTGGAGATCAGGGGCAGTACCACTGGACTGGCAGACCAGGGTGGTGGTCCCCATTTTTAAGAAGGGGGACCGGAGGGTGTGTTCCAACTACAGGGGGATCACACTCCTCAGCCTCCCTGGGAAAATCTATACCAGGGTGCTGGAGAGGAGAGTTCGTCTGCTAGTCGAACCTCAGATACAGGAGGAACAATGCGGTTTTCGTCCTGGTCGCGGAACACTGGACCAGCTCTTTATCCTCTCAAGGATACTTGAGGCGCATGGAAGTTTGCCCAACCAGTCTATATGCGTTTTGTGGACTTGGAGAAGGAATACCTCCTGTGGGAGGTACTACGGGAGTATGGGGTGTCTGGCCCATTGCTACGGGCCATTCGATCCTTATACGATTATTGCCAGCAATAAGTCGGACTCGTTCCCGGTGGGTGATGGGCTCTGCCAGGGCTGCCCTTTGTCACCGATTCTGTTCATAATTTTTATGGACAGGATTTCTAGGCGCAGCCAAGTGGCGGAGGGCTTTCACTTCGGTGGCCTCAGAATCTCATCTCTGCTTTTCGCGGATGATGTGGTTCTGTTGGCTTCATCAGGTGGTGGCCTCCAGCCCGCACTGGAACGTTTCGCAGCCGAGTGTGAAGCAGCAGGAATGAGGATCAGCACCTCCAAATCTGAGGCCATGATTCTCAGCCGGAAAAGGGTGGAGTGCCCACTCCGGGTTGGGGATGAGTTCCTGCCCCAAATGGAGGAGTTAAAGTATCTCGGGGTCTTGTTGATGTGATGGGAGCCAGAGATCGACAGGCGGATTGGTGCTGCGGCGACAGTGATGCGGACGCTGCACCGGTCCGTCGTGGTGAAGAGAGAGCTGAACGTAAAAGCAAAGCTCTCAATTTACTGGTCGATCTACGTCCCTACCCTCACCTACGGCCACGAGCCGTGGGTAGTGACCGAAAGAACGAGATTGCGGATACAAGCAGCGGAAATGAGCTTCCTCCGAAGGGTGGCTGGCGTCTCCCTTAGAGATAAGGTGAGAAGTTCAGCCATCTGGGAGGGGCTCAGAGTAGAACCGCTGCTCCTCCACATTGAAAGGAGCCAGCTGAGGTGGTTCGGATATTTGACAAGGAAGCCACCTGGGCGAGGTGTTCCGGACATGTCCCAGCGGGAGGAGGCCCGGGGCAGACCCAAGACACGCTGGAGAGATTATATCTCTCGGCTGGCCTGGGAACGCCTTGGTGTTCCCCCGGATAAGCTAGAGGAGGTGGCTGGGGAGAGGGAGGTCTGGGCTTCTCTGCTCAAGCCCCGGAGGCAGCAGAAGAAGATGGATGGATGGATGGATGGCTATTAAACATCAACAACAGTCAACTGTGCTAAACAATCAACCCACATCTTTAGATATGAGGAATATTCATAAAAAAAAAATCTATGTTTATTTGATCTGTGTTTTTTTCCCCCCCATAGCAGAATTTTCAGGCAAGTACACAACTGCATATTAATAATATAAAAGAAACTGTATAACAACCTTATTGCCCTGACATTACTGATTGATAACATGGAGCCACATTTCATCTTAAAGTGAAATCCATTTTCAAATGCCAGCACAAAGACATCGTGTTTCATGAGCCTCTGAAATAATGTGGCAACACAAAGTTGCAGGACTGAACTCTTTAAAAAGTTGATTTGATTGATTTCGGTGTGAACCTTCTATAGAAAAGCTTTCCTATGCTAAGGTATGTTGGGGGTAATGATCAAAGACATTTTGGCATCCATGCTCTCAAAACTGACCTGTCTTTTAGGTGTTTGGCCTTGACCTGGGTCATTTGGCCACTAGAGAAGTCAAACACCTCCTCGCTGAGCAGCTTCAGAATGACCATGTTGTTCTGACAGAGGCTCTCGCTGGTACGACTCGCCCCCACAATGTCACTGATGAAGGTGGGCCAGTGCTTGGGCCACTCCTGCTTCAGGATCTGCAGACGTAGAGGACATAGACATGTTAGTGAGAGATGGCACACACTGAGAAGAATGTGTAATCTGAAGAAAAAAACGAGATCAAACTGCAACTCCCCATCAGTCTCAAGTCAAAAACATTTCTTTTACAAGCATCCCGTAGTGAAGAAAATGCCGTTTTTGTTAAACTCCATACTTAATTGTCCATATTGAACATAACCATTTTAACCAGCCTCCTGACGATGAACGTGGAATCTGGAGCTCTTCAGCCCCTCCAGGCCAAAACAACGTTAGCTCAAATGACGTAAACGGTGACTCATTCTCACTGGCATTAATGCAAAGTCACTTGTGAAGTCAGTGAACCAATCTCTGCCTCTCGCTCCCTCACTCACACATTCATCAAATGCAAAAACATGGGAAAAATGTCACGTTGCACATTTAGAAGCACTAAGGTCTAAGTTGTTGGTCTCATGGTCCTGATATTTCTACAACTCTGCATTTACAGATTTCAGTGCCTTGCTGAATTAAGGATACTGCCATCAACAGCTCCATGATGATTTCCACTTTGCCAGTTTTTAACTAATTTGTATGTTTCCATACAGACACATACATCCATTTTTCTGCCACACTCTTCGAGATGATATCCTTTATTATCACAAGATCACAGTCACTTTCTAAGCATCGTTTGCCTCGGCTGAGACATTCAAGTAGTACTGATGTCCCTTTTTAATGACACTGATGTTTTTTGAGCCAGATCTACCAATTAAGAGTGACATCTTCAGGTTAAAAAGAACCACTGCAAAAGAGAAGCACTGAGGCAACAACAACATAAGGTTCAAACCCAGCGTTTTTAGATTTACTGCTTCATATGACGACACCCAGAATTTTACCATTTAGGAGTCGATAATGGTCAATAATACACACCCACTTGTTTATTAGACATTAACAAAGCACTGTGTCTTTGGTAGCAAGAACCACTTTGCTCATGGACCTGTAACATGGTCTCCAGTGAAAATTATGACATTTGCTGTGTTATCTTTACTGTATATACTGCTCTGAATCAGGCTGTATAGTACATATCATAGTACTCTGTGACTCAGTGGCTCTACCATGCTCCAGGCAATGAGTACAACACACGTAGCTAGCTAAGTGAATCTCTGCTCTGATGTACGCTACTGCTGTCAGAGTGAATAGCTTCTTGGAAACTGTTTGCTGACACTTTCTTTATCCCTCTCCACTATTCACCCACATGAACGCTGAGGGTTAGGAAAACATCACAGTTATAAACACAATGAAGTGTTTCTCAGTGTTACTGAGGCTCTGTAAAGATAATACTGATAGATTTAAAAGAAAAGTAACGCACACTTTATTATTTACAGTGTAACCAATACTATATGTTTGATATAGTTAGATATTTAACAGGTCTGAAATGAAAACAAAATCTGTGGCTGAAAGTGCACAATCAAATCCTTTGTTTTAACAATTCTTGGATTCTCTGATATTGTTTTGCAAATAGAAAACATTTACCACATGCAGCTCAGACACATCTAAGCGCACGCACGCACACAGACAATAGACAGGCCACATTTTTCATTCAGTAAACTAACAGTAACAACGCAAAATGAAGAGAAAACATCCCCCACAAAGGACTGAGTAGGTCCAAAAACGAACCCAAGCAACTCTTACCTGAACAAGGATCATGTTCAGCTTGCCAATGTACACCTTCTCTTTCTAAAAAGAAATAAAAAGAAGTAAGTCAAGGAACACGTTTCAGTTACACAACCATATCCTTTAAACACATCATGAAAAGGTAAGGTATAACAAGAGAAAATGTATGAACATGTTGATGTTTGACATTTTATATAAAATTAGTAAAGGCTGGGTTTCACCCACGAGATAAAGTCACAGGTGTTTGTAACAGAAATGTCGAGGCTGGTCATGTGCATTTGAAAGTAAACACCAAGAATTGAATTTATCCTACAATTATAACCTGCAGTAAAGTAAGCCAGACACAAATAGTCATTTCTATAATGGAGAGTTATGGTTTTTAAAGCTCACTGAAATTATTCTTTTTGAGTGCTCTTTTGGAATATCCCCTCACAAAACCTCTAGTCTGGTGTATCTGGTTGGTTTAATAACCTTAATAAACTTGGTAAATATATCATGTTTTGTAGAGTTACATACTTGAGAATGATGCAAACACCTGAAACACGGCTGGAAAGTTGCTTGCTCAGCAGGAAGTTAAATACTAACTAGACATCATTTTGTTGTAGGTGGCATCTGCACTCCTTCATTTTTATGTTGTCTTCTTCTCCTCAGCTAACCTCTTGTTAAAGCAAACAAGTATTTAACAGTGTTCACCGTCTGGCTCTTCTGACTTCACATTTAAAATCATTTAAGGAACATTTACAAAGCACAAATCCTTTCCATTAATCAAATCTAAAACAAAATTTTACATTTTCCTTTACCTTTCAATTTACCCCCCTTTCTTGCTGTTTTTATAACAGCAATACAACCACCAAGAAAAATCAAGCTTCATTGGACTTAAAAACCTTAAAGCTAGGCCAGCATGTCATATTTTCATGTATCAATCTCTGTACTTATGAGAAAAACACTGCATTCTCCTAATGAACACCAGAAAAGCTTGCTGTCAGTTTAAATTTAAAACATTTTACAACTCCAGCCTTTTAACTGCTTGAGTGCTCACAATGGCTGAAACAGTGAGAAAAGCTGCTGAAGTCACCATAGTTGTTCTGAATTACACAGCACTCTTAGCAGCTTAAGTCATGGCTGCCCTACTAACCTGCCTGTTTAAAGTGCTGCTGCAATAAAACATGGACACAAATAACGAGAGAGGGAACAAGAGGCTGTTTGTGCAAAATTTTTTTAACATCGACGAGGTTATAAATTGTTATAAATTGTTTTTAAAGTGAATCTTCTAATATGTCTGACTTTTCCTTGAACCACAGGGAGGTTGTGTAAAATGTACACTTTAATCATTTAAACCCTTTGCTGAACTGCAAATAATAAGAGCCATATTAAACACCAGCATTTTATGTTTTATTATGATTTATAATATATACCCATTTAAAATTTCCCAGTGACATGCTTCCAAAATCCTGGAAACGTGGACTAAACTCTTTACAAAAGAAACTCAAACAATCAAACAAGAATCTGGTGGAACTTCTTTGCCTTTAAGCTAATTTGTAACATTACTGAGTACAAAAAATGCACCGCAGGCAGGATCTCTCCAACTTTACGATGGGGAGGGTCTCACCACCTTGTTCTTGGCTGAATGGGCAAATTGCCCAATTGTAAAGAACCCGGGAGCAATTAAAAGATTCACAGAATCCAGACAAATCTCTGCACATAAGCGATAAGACTCCAATGTTTAACAGCCATGGACTTTGGGTCCTCAGACAGCACTGCACTGCTGTAGAAATTACTATGAATACAGTTCATCAATGCATTCACAAACACAAATAAAATGTTATTTAAAGAAGAACAAAAAGCTCTTCTCCAGACCTGAGCTTGTTTAAGGCAGACTGATGGGAAGTGGAAAATTATCCTGTGATCTGAATCAAAATGGGAAATTGTTCGTGGACACATGGGCACATCCCAGACCTGTGACCCACTCAAAACATCTGGGGCGTTATGGACACAAAGATGTGACACAGGCAGTCCTGAACTACTGACTATTTGAAATCCAGTCACGAGAATGGGAAACCAAATTCTCCAACTCTTACGGGGTGTTTCTAACAGAAGAGGTTTTGCAACATAGTAGGAACTGTTTTTGTTGTTCCATCTCGTACTATTACCCCAAGAATACAACCTATTTATAAAATATAAAGTTTACTCACCTCTACACTTGATGCATCAGATGAAGTCTTGATAATGAGCCCAACAACATACTTTTTTATACCTGGCAAATACACAGAGAATATCAGAAGATGTCCGTTAGCATGCACCAATAAAAATGTGTTCATCAGCAGTTGCCTGGAGCACATTAGTCAGTAACCCTAACACAATCTGCGGGCTCATAACTAGCTGAATCTGCCAATCATATCCCACATTTGTACTGTAGAAAAAAAAAAGGTGTGGTTCTCCATATACACACACTGTTGCAAAGCCAGTTTATAAACACGTGGACGTGAGCAGCAACTGCCACTGAACTTTCACAGGACAAAACCCTTTGGTCGGTTCAGTGGAAGTTCCATTTTCCCCCACGTGTTTTCACAGACATTCAAGATTGTCAAAGTGAGCAGAGCATCTTTAAAATGCGTTTTCAGCTCCCTCGCATTTCTCTCTAGACTGCAGCTGACTACGAAAATGTGTGTTTTGGTGTGGTGAGAGGAGCCGAAAACAAGGCAATACTCTGACACAAGGGGGGAAAAGACATACTTGCCAGTCGCCCTGCACTGGGTTTGCCACTTGAACAAAATTCAGGCATCTACGGTCAGAAGCAGGTAAGTCTTAGGTCAATGAAAAAATTAATTTTGAGCAAAATTATAGAAGAATGGAGGGAGGCAGAATCATCTGATTTGCACATGATTATCAAATTTATTTCATTATCACTGCTTTTTCCTCTGAAATGTTTTTCTAAATAAATTCTGTTCCACTGTGTTGAGACTTCTGCTATGTGCTAATGCTGATGTGTCCAATTGACAATTAGGCAATAATTAAAGGCTGAACATTAAGAACTTATAGCCATATACTGATAACACTGCAACACTTTATATAGGTTCATACGCACATTTACCTTGTCAACAACTTCGTGTAACGTTTAAAATTATCAATAAACATTTTGAAAATATAACTGACAGCAATTACCGCACTCCATTAACCCATCCCTCATTCCTCCCTGGGTACAATGTGGAAAAACTGGCTCAAAGCAACACACACAATGTGTCATTGATTTTAGAAACAACAACATATCCCATCAGAATAATGTAAGGCTAGACAACAGTAACAACGTATCTACTTTGTTTCCTCTCAAAAAATTTCCCTCACAAAGCATTAAAAACAAAATAGTGCTGGGGTGTTTTCCTTGTTTCCTCTCTAAAACTACTGCTCAAATGCAGAATCCAACCTTTCTGAGTAGCCAGTTCGAGTCAGTCGAGCAGAAAACAAACCAGCATGCTTAGTGGGGGAATACTCCTCAACATGGCAACCACACGTCACATTTACAAAGAAAAAAACTAAACAAAAACAAAACACACTAACACCATGGGAATAAATGTTTCAGGAATTTTTCCACAAAAGAAACTTTTACCTTCACACTGATTCCTGGGAAGAATCTTCCATCTGGTTTTGATAACCGTTTCCAGAATTTGGAGAGCATAGTACTGTAACACGCAAGGAAGAAGCAGCATTAGGACAAAGCTGTTATGACAGCATCCAACAATAAGAAGTGCCCACCTTTAATCCAAAAACAGTATGAAGTGGACCAGTCTGCAATAACTTGCATTTCTAAACTAGATTGCACTGAACCACATTTCATGCAGATTTTGTAGTGTGCAACACTTTCAACTTTCTTTTTTTTTTTAAATATACAAGCAGCATTATGCTGGAACACTGCAGAAGCCCTGCTGTTATTCTCAGCATCACACCAGACACAAAAAAAGGAGAAAAAAAAAAGAAAGAAAAAAGGCAACCCATTAACCAGCTTTGTCACAGATTGCTTCAAAAGGGAGTCAAATGGCCTAGAAGACACAACAAGGTTTAAACGCCTCTATCTAGGCTACATGGACCTTTGTAGGGTTGGGCATCGAGAACTGTTTTTAAAGGACAATTTGTTCAAGTGCAATATTGCTACAGGTTTCTTTTGTCCCTTAAACTGATTGTGCTTTAAGACCCCTTAAAGCAAATTCTGAGCCCACTGTGCTTCAGTCTACATTAAAGGTGGAGCATGCATCATACAAGTACCCACCACAGGAGTCTGTGGGATGTTCTGGGGCAACTGGACAACTGTACAGGTTTCCACTGCAGAACTCATATTACCTTTCTGACTGTTGTTCTTTTCAGGGAGGAAAACCCGCTGTGGGGTCGATAGGACCGGATATCCTAAAAATATAACCAGCGTTTCTGCTGCCAACTAGCAAGAGCAACATTTTAGTTAGAGCCTGACCAAAAAATTAGATATTGGACAATAGCCCGCTTTTCTCCACCTCAAACACACAAAATATAAAAATCAAATTTATTTTCTGCTCAGATCAGCTGGTTGTTGTGTTTGCCAACAGGGAGGCTGCAGCGCACCCACTGGTGGGCAACATGTTTGAAGGGTGTTTCTCTCACCTCATTTTCTTTTAGTTTTTACATTTTCATTCATCAAAGGATACTGACACATCGGAAAATGGGTCATATCAGCCAATCGCTACAGTGAAATAAAACAGAGGTTCGATATAAGCTCATACATACTGAGGAAGAATTTATGGATATATACTTTGTGGCTATTTTTCATACCTGTTAAAAGTGTCACAACAATGCCAACATTAACAACCATCAAACCTTGAGAACTCCTCGATACTAACAGTCTGTGTAAACACAGTGACTGTCTAGGTTGCTCACAATTCTACATAACCACTCTTTCACTAAAGGCATGCCATTTTCTCAGGTTCACAACTCTGTCATTACTTGTATGAAGTCAATCTGTTTTTTCTCTAGTTCCTGCAATTAAAAAAAGACAAAAGGAACAAAACCCAACCAACAAATAAGCAGTTTTAGCTGAAAATGCTGCAGATATCAAATATATACAAACACACATTTATTTGACACTTTTTGTAATACCAAAGGTTTGTCTCTGTTCCTATGAAAAATATAATTACAGCTCATGCAATAACTTGCCAGAACTACCTCATAACATTGTAAGTTCCTTCAGACTGACAATCCATCAAACTCAGTTGCATTTTTCAAACTGTATCTCGTGGATCAAATTTCACTGTGGCCCTCCAACAGAGACATACATTTTTTCGCTTATTTTAAAGCAGAGATTTTTTTTGGGACTGAAAGCCCTTTAAAATTGCAGTATTTTCAACATCTGAATTTTTTTTTTTCCCCAGACGCAGCATGTTCACAAAAAGCTAAAGCCACAGATCGCTATGAAATTCAAAATTGTTATCCCCACTGACAAATCACAAAACTTTGCCTTTAAAGGTCGTTTCTTTATAATAACCAGAATTTAAGGAAGTGAAGCACCAACCTAGCTACAAAAAAAGAAAAGAAAATAACAACAGTATCATGTTGTCGATACCCAACCCTAAACTCTAGTCCATTTTCTTTACAATGCTTCATTTCTAACTTAAATTCAACTTTACCTGGTGTGTCATAAAGAACAGCAGGACCACCACAGATTACACTAATTTAAATCACTTACTTGTGAAGCATAAAGAAATAAAAATATAATTTGTTAATCCAAGTTAGTTTATGATCTGATGTTACTTCAGCTGACTGTTTCAACTGTAGGGATCATCACTTGAGACCATGAGTCAATAAATTAAAAAAAAAAAAAAAAGAAGAAGAAGAAAAAAAAATAGTAGTAAGAAATGACTTGTATTACAGGATGTTATTAAAGCAAGATTAACAGTGTGCTACGGACAATGGATGCTGGAAGATTAAAGGTGAAAGCTCCTTATAACAAGCTGACTGTACACCACTCGCAGGTGTCACCTGGAGCGCTGCATTAAACTCTGCCGTGTTTTATTTCACCTTTAATTACCGGACTACACAAACCACCGCGCAAGGTAAGAAGAGAGAAATTACAAGTAGGAAACTGCGAAATGCCTTGCAACATTTCAGCTCACAGAGGTGCATCTTAAGAAGAGGCCATGACGAGAGAACTCAGCTGTACCGTTTAAAAAAAAAAAAAGAAAGAAAAAAAAGAAAAAAGGAAAAGCATGAGAGCGAGGTGGGAACAGTGCCATGATCCCTACAGTTGAAATTAAATCTTTTCGTGTCTCTTTACAATAGATCCTACTGACTGCAGCCTGCACCCACCCTCTGTCCAATGAAACAGATGCAATAAAAACGGATGAACAGAATTCAGTCAAAGGGAATTTAAAAAGGGTAGACCTTGTGGAGGCCTGCCGTCAAAGCCTAGCTGTGTCATGATGCACAGGATGACACACCCCTTCTCTTCCTATTACAAGCCATAAACATAATGGAACATTGTGATTAATATCAAAAAGTCACAACTTGAAATCATGACAATTTCAAATATAGCTACTGTAGTTAATTAAAAAACAAACAAACAAACAAAAAAAGGCAGACACCCAAAGTGCTTTGAAACTGGGCATTTTTCAAACTTATCACTGAAGATAGAATGCAGGATTCGAGAGGTGTTTACCTTGTTTCCTCAATTATCCCTATTTATTTGGCAAATTTATGAATTTTAAAGTGATATTGATACATCAAGAACTCAGATTAGTATTGAATGTCAGTATTAAAAGCAGTCTTACAAGCAAGCAAAAATAAATAAAATACAAATGAAAAACAAGTATCAACATTACTTTGAGGAAGTTGTGTATGATTTGCACTTCAATTAATTCATACCATGTAAATATTATTCTTTGATTATGGATATGTACTGGCTTTAACAGCACAATTCATCTGTAAATCTTTGACATCTGAATGGTTACAAAGTCAAACGTTTACCATTCACAACTGGTTGCTTAACTAGCGGTACCACCATGCAGAAGCAGCACAACATACACTTGCAAACAGATGACCTAGAAACACACAAGACCCAAATCTTTAAATAGTTACCAAGATTCATTCGGTTTTCTTAAATCAAAAAAACATACAACCACATAAGCAGAAATGCCAAATACACTTTACATCTATGTAAATGTTAATTATTAGCAGGTGTGGAAAGTTACTTTAACCATCTTTCATAACCCTTTATATTACCACACAAACAGGATTGGCATGCATGGAGTTTTATGATAGTTGTATTTAGAGAAGTACGTTTTAATAATACAACAGTAAGATGACAGAAAGCCTCCATTGTTTGTCTGCTAGGTTCAGATCCAACAGAATTCAGAAGGACAGGGGTCCTGCATAGCTCAGCAGTTAGGGCATGAGACAAACACTGCAAGTGCATAAAGGCTGCTTCCAACAAAAAGATCCACTACAAAGTATCTTTTATATAAATGAAAGCATGGTATAGGCTAACCACTGTGATGTAGGGTGAAGCTTTTATGTTGTTTTGTGTGCTGGCTAAAAATACTTCTTCCTCAAAGTACATGCAAGTTTCCTTTCAACAGCATTTTGCAGGTAAGAGTTAACTTACTTTGGTGTTCATGTTCTGGGAGAACTCAAGGATGGTATCCACTCTCGTCCAGGCATCTGGGTGCTCTTTTAAGTGTGTCAACACTTCTTGTGCCATTCTTTGCTGTAAATCGATGAGGATAACACTTTAGAATTAACACTGAGGTGATATGAAAAGAATTGCAAGGAAAATGCAACAGTAAAGTCAACATTGTCTGTCTTACAAAAAGTCAATGTGTTACTCTCAGGTGAATGTAAAGTGGAACTTAAAAGAAGAAATTTACAAGCAGCTTCTTTCAGATATGGTGTAGAGATAGAGAGAGAGAGTGAGAGAGAGAGAAAAGGATAACATACCTGTGGTCCTACCCCATGATACAGACAGTTCACCACATTATCCAGCAGATTGATATCCAGTTTCTGGTTGAAGTCCAGCAGCTGCTGTGCTGCATGGTCTGCTAACATTGTCATAACTGCTGGCATAGAGCTCTGCAACAAGGACAGGGGGCGGGGGTCATGAGTGCACAGAACGCATTTAACAGACAAAGTCATGTGAACTGTGTGTTTAGAAACCATTCTTAACAGCTGACCGTGTAACAAACATCTGCTAGACCAACCACTGAGATGTCATTTTAAGATATTAGGCTCATGGTGTCACATGCCTGTCATGTTCAAAAAGTACAGGAAAGCTCCTGGTTCCTTTGCTGGACTCCGTTTAGGAAACTTCAAACTGGCTGAAAATGCTGGACATAGTACTCTGGTTTACACCAGGAGCCCAGGGACTCCAGCAGCAAAAGCCAAAATAACTTAAAATCAATCTCAGTATAATTCCAAACCTTTTATTAGAGAAAGAGAGTTACAGCGCCACGTTATTTTTAAAAAAAAAAACAGGCCAGTATTGATCCGTAAACAGATGAGTGCACTATTCAGAAAGCCGAAGTCAATGACACTGCGCTTTTGCTTTAAACAAACAACTTAACAGCTGACTCAGACACAGTTACAAGCAGGCTTTTAATCCGTCCGTGGTGCCTGCGTTGTTTCACTAACCAAGCACTCATTTCTACAACTGCATTAGTATCATTAAATGAGCCACGTGCCGCATATGCTATCCGACGTCACGTTGTTTACGTCTGTAAAACACCGAGCACACCGCGAATGACTGGCAGCAACAGTTAAAAAAACAACAAACGCATCTTACAACCACGTCTACCTAGTAGCATCACCCGCTAATTTAAAAAAAAAAAAGAGAGAGAGAGAGCGAGAGCACAAGCGCGTCTCCCGCACACATTAACCAGCCACTAGGATTCACCCCACACATGTGCTCCCTCACTGCTCACTCCAACCACTCCCACCGAGGATACCAGGGACGGAGGGTGCTCATAAATAAATTTTACTCGCTGTGTCGTCACCGCTGTTTAGAGAAGTTAGCGCTTCTTGCTGCGACTCTACTCCAAAGACTAGAAACGATTATGGGCCATTTTCCGGTACAGTACGGTAAAGTTAATACTGACGCCGTTTAGCACCTAGCAACATCAACTCGACATCCGCTCGCATCACGTACACGAGTGATGCTGCCTCGGTGGGAGAGGCGCGGATTTAATCTCACGCAGTTTGGTGCTCGTCTGCAGCGTCGCACGTAACGTCAAAAGAGGTAGCCTGATTATGCGTTTAGTTCAGTAAAGTTACAACACTTTCTCTGACAGCCAGCGTTAGCTTATTTTTAAGTGGCAAATGCTAGCAAGCGGACAGCCGATGGCTATTTGGTTATCCCCACTGATGCCATTGCATTCTGAATTAGCATGTCGTTACATGAGCTTAAAGGCAAATTACAAGATAACACAGGTTAATGTGCACACCAAGATGCATTTTATTCTCTATAAAGGGTAAAGCCAAGACACGTTAATCACAGCATGGCAGGTTCGTACTTCACCCCAGTTACCTACCTAATATCCGAGGCTCTGACTGAAAAGAGTGGCGTTTGCCAAAAAAAAAAGCTACTAGGTACTTTGAGTACTTCAGAGTATCTGATGATTACAAAAGATTTCCTATCTCTGCAGCGTTGACTATCTCCAGCTCCAGTAGTGAATGATGTCTGGCTGGTAAGAACCACTGATGTGGATTCCAAAACTACTATCACAGTAGACCTAACAATCTGTTACTCCGATACATTTTACGAAACTAAGTAAACCTTGATTCACTAATTTATTCTTTACTCTAATAATTTTCCAGCAGGGTGGTATAGAGGTTGTGTGCCTGCGCCTCCTCTCTTCTCTCCTCTCAAGCAACTAACTCGCAACCGGTTGAAACCGGTTCAGACTGGGAGATTCCATCTCGGTTTAGTTTTCAGCCGATGGCGCCGCGTAAAGTTTGGACTTAGGTTACGCCCAGGCCGCGCTGTGATTGGCTGTGTCTCTGGCGAAGACTTCCTACTTGGCGTCCCATTGAAGGATCGGCCTGTCAGTTTATTTCAATTCGCACAAGCGCCCACGCGACTACTCCGCCCGGAGAGAAAAAGAGGGCAGACTCCCTTGCAGAATGGACTTCTACACGACTCCGTTTTACAGAATGGCGAATAACTTCTCGACCCGACTTTCGTGTCAAAACTGAGCTTTAACATAAACATTTCAATTATTTGAGCAATTACAAGAAATAACTGGAGCGCGAGCGTGCAGCACGCGGAGCAAAAGTAATGGCGTTTGATGTTTGTTATCCATTTAAGCCTCTCTGTGGAAGTTTTGCTATTTTGAAGCCAAATATAGCCAGAAGGCAGAGTGCCTAGTTCATGCAGGTAGCCTGTTGGTTTGAATGATGTGATAAACCGCAACTACCATTCATTTTGCCTGTTGCTCGTAAGCTGGTAATTTTCCACCAGCCACGAGTGGGCGTGGTTACATGATCATGAACGCACGGGGTTAGAAAAACGACCTGGAGCAGAATTTGTTTCCCCGAATGGGTAACGCTACCAAAGTGAACGGGGGACATTATGTGTATATATATATATATAGTGTCAGCAGCAGCCGGACGGTAAATGCAGAAACGCTGTCTTGTATTTTCCTATTTGAGCGCCATATATTCAATGCACCGCTGTCAATGGAGGACGCAAACGTGACAGCGTTTTTTTTCCCTCCTCTGTGGTCACGTGGTCCAGCGCGCTACTTGATGGAAAAATACTGGATTTGGTGTGTAGCGGAGACAGTACACAGCCCAGTAAAGTCATTCTGAGAGGATATTTCGAAGGGCGTTTTGAATGTTTACCCAGCAACACTATCTACCGCTCATTCTTTATGTTTCTTAGAAACCTGTAAGACTCGCTTTTTATTATTATTATTATGATGATGATGTCAAAGTAGTCAGAGGTGGGAAGTAATATCTATTTTTAAAGTCCAAGTCGGACTGAGATGCACGTCAGTCAGTGAAATTGCGCAAACTGCAAGAAAATCCATTACCAGTCGGGTTGTTTCAGAGTTGCACGCTGCTCATGAGAAGCGTACGTGTTATGTTATAGTGCATGTCATGATGATACACTACAAGGGGAACTGACTGCACACAACTTGCAGTGTAATGTCAAAGCTATTCGTATTAATGAAAAGTTTTTTTTCTTTTTGCATATTTTCCATGTCGAAAATAAGTTATGTTATTTCACCTGTTCTGCCAGTGTGCCAATGGCGTCCCAGTGTCCTTGGATCAGCCTCACACCTCAGACAGTTGGCCTATATCCGAGCCTTTGTTATTAACAAACAAGATTTCAAAGCCTATTATCTATGTGTGGAGTCATGCACGCCATTTGCTTTGCCCTCCGTCCTGTCACAGAGTGCCTGACCCTCAGGAGGACAGGATGTGCACATTTCTAGATACAAACAGGTCATCCTGCTTTTTGGGAATGTAATAGACTAGGCAAAGCTATCTGAAGTCCAATTTATATTATGTGCAAGGTAAGACATATTAACATTGGGATATGCTTTAACTGTGGTGGCTTATCATTTACATATAGTGCATGCACATAGTTGTCCACCCTTGTGAGTTTGACAGTTGTAATATATATATGCAAACAAATAAGTAAGTATGATAGACTGCTATTTTTAATGCCCAACAGGAAAGTGTAAGTGCAAATCAACAAACCTCCAAGTAGGTGTGTGACCTCTGCAGGAAAAAGTGTCAGGTACAATTTATAGCGAAGCCTCAGATATTGAAAAATGGATCTAAACCCATACCACAGCTGAAGGCTGATTTTTTTTTTTTTTTTTTTTTTTTCCCATAAAGCCAGAAAAGCTTTTTTTAAACATCAGCCGTGTCTTCACTGTAGGGTCCACCAGTGCCCTTATCATAGAAAGTAGGCCACACTGTTTAAAGTTTATGTCACTCTGATATCATTAAAAATAGATGTAGTACTATGAAAATCCTCATCGTGTCATTCATTTTCCCACCCTACACGAGCCCAGCTGCCCGCAGGGCCTCACTGTCCACACAAATGAGGTTCTCTGGTAGAGCGGTGCTGGAATTTATTTTCAAACATGTGTGAAGTTTGGAGGTAACCAAGCTCGATCAGGCACAGGCTGGTTAAAGCTTGTTCTCTCTGGCTGGAGCCTAGTAGGACATTTACATATATTATCGTTGCACCACACTAGTGGGCTGACCTCTATGTGGCAATCAACTTAAAAAAAAACATATTGAAAGTTGTTGTGCTGGCTCATACTCCTCTTGTCCCAGTGCCCGAATGGTCAGCTTTGGCATGCAGGTCTATGATAGGAAAAGGAGAAATGAAAAGTGGTGCATAATTTCAGGGTATTATTGCGCAATGATTCCAGTGTGACAGAAAAAGTCAACTTGTTGTCAACTCTGTGGGCTGTTTAAACAATGCGTTTTACTTGCTTGTACCAGCTGCTGGTCGGTACAGGAAACTAATCTGTGCTACAGAGAATAAAAACACTCATTGTTTTTTGATTAGCCTCTGACTCTAGCCCATGTTAAAGTCAGGACCTTATAAACAATTAATAGCGCCATCTCCTGCTGTAGAAGTGTTTCACACTCCTGCGTCTAAGATGTGATTTTGGAGTGCCATCTGCTGGAGAAATGGCTTCTTTTTTTTTGCTATCGCTGAGATCAAATCTCAAAGCAGTATTTCTATTTCCATTGTATTTGCAATATTGAGGTATTATAATTTTCTGAGCTTTGTCCACAGTCTTACAAATTTGGATCTTGGGTGTCATTTTAATGAGCTGTAGAAAGTCTAATGGTCTCTTAAAGTGTGTGTTGGTTATCTGGGTTACCAAAAAATTCTGGGTTCCAAACCAAAGTTAACTTATCAAATTGAAGCTTAAATCAGTGCTCATATGGAGACCTTTGCTGTAGGCAATACACATAGATATTTTGTTTCTAAATCTATGCTTAAGTTTTTAGTTTTAAATGCAAAAAACAAAGATTTAACATCTCTAAAGCACATAACAGAGGATGAAGAACCCCTCATTTCTTTACAGGGAGTGCAGAATTATTAGGCAAGTTGTATTTTTGAGGAATATTATTGAACAACAACCATGTTCTCAATGAACCCAAAAACTCATTAATATCAAAGCTGAATGTTTTTGGAAGTAGGTTTTAGTTTTAGCTTTTTTAGGGGGATATCTGTGTGTGCAGGTGACTATTACTGTGCATAATTATTAGGCAACTTAACAAAAAACAAATATATACCCATTTCAATTACTTATTTTTACCAGTGACACCAATATAACATCTCCACATTCACAAATATACATTTCTGACATTCAAAAACAAATCAGCGACCAATATAGCCACCTTTCTTTGCAAGGACACTCAAAAGCCTGCCATCCATGGATTCTGTCAGTGTTTTGATCTGTTCACCATCAACATTGCGTGCAGCAGCAACCACAGCCTCCCAGACACTGTTCAGAGAGGTGTACTGTTTTCCCTCCTTGTAAATCTCACATTTGATGATGGACCACAGGTTCTCAATGGGGTTCAGATCAGGTGAACAAGGAGGCCATGTCATTAGTTTTTCTTCTTTTATACCCTTTCTTGCCAGCCACGCTGTGGAGTACTTGGATGCGTGTGATGGAGCATTGTCCTGCATGACAATCATGTTTTTCTTGAAGGATGCAGACTTCTTCCTGTACCACTGCTTGAAGAAGGTGTCTTCCAGGAACTGGCAGTAGGACTGGGAGTTGAGCTTGACTCCATCCTCAACCCGAAAAGGCCCCACAAGCTCATCTTTGATGATAGCAGCCCAAACCAGTACTCCACCTCCACCTTGCTGGCGTCTGAGTGGGACTGGAGCTCTCTGCCCTTTACCAATCCAGCCACGGGCCCATCCATCTGGCCCATCAAGACTCACTCTCATTTCATCAGTCCATAAAACCTTAGAAAAATCAGTCTTGAGATATTTCTTGGCCCAGTCTTGACGTTTCAGCTTTTGTGTCTTGTTCAGTGGTGGTCGTCTTTCAGCCTTTCTTACCTTGGCCATGTCTCTGAGTATTGCACACCTTGTGCTTTTGGGCACTCCAGTGATGTTGCAGCTCTGAAATATGGCCAAACTGGTGGCAAGTGGCATCTTGGCAGCTGCACGCTTGACTTTTCTCAGTTCATGGGCAGTTATTTTGCGCCTTGGTTTTTCCACACGCTTCTTGCGACCCTGTTGACTATTTTGAATGAAACGCTTGATTGTTCGATGATCAGAAGCTTTGCAATTTTGAGACTGCTGCATCCCTCTGCAAGATATCTCACTATTTTTGACTTTTCTGAGCCTGTCAAGTCCTTCTTTTGACCCATTTTGCCAAAGGAAAGGAAGTTGCCTAATAATTATGCACACCTGATATAGGGTGTTGATGTCATTAGACCACACCCCTTCTCATTACAGAGATGCACATCACCTAATATGCTTAATTGGTAGTAGGCTTTCGAGCCTATACAGCTTGGAGTAAGACAACATGCATGAAGAGGATGATGTGGACAAAATACTCATTTGCCTAATAATTCTGCACTCCCTGTGTATTTTGTTGCCAAAATAGGTGCAGCTTTTTACTGAGACATGTCCAAACAAAACTGGAAACACAGTGTATAAGACTATTCTAATAAGCTTGAAAGTCTTGAAACTTGAACTCCATCAAGTTTAACAAGCTCTCAAACACCACTGGTTGACAGAGCCTGTACCGTGTTTTACAGATGGCAGTAGATACTCCCTGCTGTACCTCTAAGACCTATTTCCACTGATTTTCAGTCCAATTCTTGTGCAGTTTAGCATGCCTCAGCCTTTGACATGACTTTTGGAAAATGTCCATCTGATGTAGATAGGCCTGACATTTCTTTCTTTTTTTTGACCTCCACTTTCCTAAAAAACAATTTAAGCAAAAAATGCACATCGTGCCCAGATAGACCAGGTTTTTGACTAACAGCTCTTTGGGAAGCACCTTATCACTTGATCATTAACAGAAATATCTAATCAGCCAATCACGGCAGCAACTCAAGGGGGGGTAAGTTTTCGGACATTGCTCACTTACTGGAATTTTTCCACACGACCACAGAGAATGGTAAGAAAAAGAGAAAATATCCAGTGAGCAGCAGTTGTTGTCGAAGGTCAGAGGAAAATGGCAACATTGCTTTGAGTTACTAGGATGGTAAAAGTAACTGAAATAACTGCTTGTTACACCCAAGGTATGAAGACAGAATCTTGAACACAACATGCTGAACCTTGAAGCTGATGAGCACACTGGGTGCTATGCATGTCAGCTAAAATCAGAAAACTGAGGCTACACAGGCTCACCAGACCTGGACAACAGAAGA